TGAGGGACACTTCCGACCGTTCCTTGTAAGTAAGTCATGTACATGGACTCGCGTGTATTTTGGTGATGTAGAATAGATAGTCTTTATAGTCACAAAATGCTATAAAAGTTCCGTGTCGAGGTGTACTACACGAGAACATTGCTAGAGAGATGACGGAGCATGACTGCTTTTCAGGTCCAGGTTCAAACCCTGGCTGAGGTATTGTTTTTCGCAATAGACTTAAAATTAACAAGTTATTTAGACGCTCTAACATCCTGTCTTGGCTCTTACTCCTTTATTACTTCGTATTTGTGTCTTCGCATTAGAGCCTTATGGATTTTATTAATTAATTAAATAAAACTATTGTAATATCTTACCTTACGAAATAGTCTGCCCACGCTTGTCGATATTCCGGACGTAACTTAGAATCGTGTGTCCAAGATTTCTTAGTTTTCATCCAAAGACTGGCGGTCCACGGCGTAGACATTAACTTAATTTTCCCGTTTTTTAATTCTTGAGCTCGCTTCATTATCGGTATCTATTGACGAGTGAGGTATTTAATGAAAGGTCTTACATTGCAACCGCCAACTATCCCATTCATTGACTTAACTCCAGAAACACAAATATCTTCTCAAGCTTTTCGATATCCGAGAGAAACAGACTGCTTGTTTTATAAAATGAATGAACAATTGAGTTATTAATCGATAAATCACTAAACCTTGTAAACATAATCCTCTGTCTGTAAATCGAAGTACTGGAACGTAGTATCGTTTTCTACCATTGCGTAGGTGTAAGGTCTCGTTGAAAAATCCGAGCCACCCATTGGCGTTCGGATGAAATTATAATTAATACCATGTGGACCAAAGTAGCTTCTAGAATTTAGGGATCGAATGGAAAATTAACTTTCGACGGAAATCGCTGCGAATCTCCTAGATATGTCAACCGCTGAATTAGCAAAACTCTTTGAAAAATCAACGATTTCTAATTTATTTTACCTCAACAAGTATTCGGATGCCTCGTACGTTAGTTTATGAATATTTATAGCCGCCGCATCGGTTACAGCTCCACCAAATCCGAAAATTTCTTGATACACGTCCTTTTGATCTACAGTGATCTTTCCCAGTGGATCTGATTTTACAGTGTTTTCATTACACATGGAATGTGGTAGTAAACATTTCTGTCCAGGTTCAAACCCTGGCCGAGGTAATATTTTTCGCAATAAATTTTCTGTATCAAAACACTGGCCGGTTAATGTCGACTAAAGAGCTTGATTATTATTTCTAATAATGTTTGGCAAGCACTAGATTGTTCTGAATCTACAGTTTCTTTAAGTAATTCTGGTGTTTCAAGAAAACAACTTCAGTACTTACCGCCAGTCTTCTTATTGTCAAACGTGCCTTTCGATACGTGGAAGAATAGACCACTTTTGCTCGATGTTATCAGGACATATTCGCTAGGATTGAGTGGCTTAATCGCATCCGGAGTTTCGTCGCAATATACCTCGTTGCAAACGCAATAATATCCATCGTGATCTCCACTTTCTTCCGATCGGCGTTTAACACAGCCGTTTGTTGGCGCTAAAAAGTGTCCGGCAAAAAATATACTTACCCATACGATCAAACCTGCAAAACAGATTTCAAACAGAGTCTGCTAGCAGTTCTTCTGTTGGCAGAAGGGTTACGGGTTGTGGACAAAATCTGATGTGTCAGGGTCTGACAGCAAATTGGCGGCAGGAAATGCACAGCGGGCTGTTTGTAAAAGATTGTGCGTGCTTTTTGCCACCGATCTACTGTTAGAAGAACCTGCCAGAGCCCGACAGATTTTTGTGTGCTTTCTACCGCTAATCTGCTGCAAGAGTCTGCTGGCAGGCTCTCAGAGCTTTCTATCGCCAATCTGCTGTTATAATCTGTCAGCAAGCTTTGTCGACAAAATGTGAATAGATTGGATACGCAAATGACTATGGATCTGCGAACAGATAGAATCTGTCGTCAATTTGTTCACAGATTGCTCATTGAGTGATTATTTGACTTGCTTACCATTTTACGTACACATTTCCATATTTCTCTACAATCTTTTAATATATAATGTGCTGCTGATAGAAATTAAATTATGGTTTTACGCCAATATAAGTATATTCTAAAATTGTTGGATAAAACAAAAATGTTGAAACGTAAAAATTGCTTTTATACATATCTTGCATTTTCCAATTTCGATATTTAAAAGCATCTACATTTTGTAAAAGAGTTGAATGTAGGAAGAAAAAAATTTCTGTAAGAAAAGATTTTAGAAAACAGAGAGAGCCGTGAATTACTTATATGAAGGCTGTACAGTCGGGAGCACTGAGGTTGCGACACTTTTTTTTTTATAAGTTTACGAACGCGCAACAAAATTCAGGATGCGAATCACTGTCCGCGTTCATGCGCGGTGAGTGATTATGGTGCTGTCAAATTTGTGTATACAATGTGTAACATAAATCCGCGCTCATGCGCGATGAGTGATTATGGTGCTGTCAAATTTGTGTATACAATGTGTAACATAAATTTATATGCCGCAGCAAATCCATAATAAATAACATGATTATTCAGTTGATTCGTGTTAACTCGCTGTCGGATCAGATCTTTCGTCGGCTTGTCTCTTGGTTATATTATACTAATGTATAATGTGGGATGATTTCTAAATACAAAATAAAATAAATATAATAAATATAATAAATAAATAAATTAATTAATTAATTTAAATTAATTTAAATAAATAAAGTAAATAAATAAATGTAAATAAATAAATAAATAAATGACATTACTTTGATAAATATAAAATGACCATGATACCTTGTATTCACTAATATTTTTTTAAGTTTGTGAATCAAATATCCGATGGCGATTTAGTAGAAAATTTGTTGTAGTATGAAAAGTTTTTAATCAAGAAAATTTATACTAAATTGCCGTCGGATATTTGATTCACAAATTTAAAAAAATATTAGTGAAGACAAGGTATCATGGTCATTTTATATATTTATTAAATTAATGTCATTTATTTATTTATTTTATTTATTTAAATTTATTTAATTACTTAATTTATTTAAATTGATTTATTAATTATATTAATTATATTTATTTTATTTTGTATTTAGAAATCATCCCACATTATTCATTAGTATAACCAAGAGACAAGCCGGCGAAAGATCTGATCCGACAGCGAGTTAACACGAATCAACTGAATAATCATGTTATTTATTATGGATTTGCCGTGGCATATAAATTTATGTTACACATTGTATACACAAATTTGACAGCACCATGATCACTCACCGCACAAGTGCGCGGACAGTGATTCGCATCCTGAATTTTTTGTGCGTTCGTAAACTTATAAAAAAAAAGTGTCGCAACCTCAGTGCTCCCGACTGTACAAGATTGCAATAATAAACATGAGTAATTGTCTATTGATAGACTAATTGATCTGTTGATAATTATTCACGTAAATTATTCACTGATAAAATGCATGATTGTATAATATTAAAGTAAGAACAAATTATGTTAAATTATTGGAACATGTAATAGAAAAATGTGTATTGAAATGTAGATATAGAGAAAATTGTGCTAAAGTTATTTCAATAAACCTTGAGTATACAGGCGAGTCTATGCTAACTTCTAAATAATTTAGAATCTTTTAAAAATTGCAATTTCGAAATTTAATTTAAGTAAAAATTAATGAAGATATATGCCTACAAATGTTTAGTTATGCGTGTGTGTGTGTGTACGCACGCGCGCACACGCATTAGGGCTCGCTATTATAATACGTTTAAATGGGAACACGCTTACATGTATATTTAGTGTACCTGTTTATTAAAAATATCGGTGTCTTTCGCTTTCCAAGCAAACGCTTATTGTTAGTTTATTAAGCTACTCAGCTCCTCAGTAATGATACTTTTCTCAACAGACTATGATATTAGTTCTGTCGATATTCAGTAACGCAAATATAATTTTCACCTAAGAAGCACTAACCGAAATGTTAAATTGCTTAACTACAAAAAAATACTCAAAATTTTTCCCAGAGTAAAGTTACGAACAATCCAAATAATTCGACTACTAATTGTGGGCCCTAAAATGGGTTGCTAACTGTCCTTTTTTCCCCAGAGTAACAGTCTACCAAAGATAAAGTAAAACCAAATGTTCAAAGTACCAGAATGAACTGGACAAAACAGGCTTTAAGCATAATACACAAAGAAGAAGAAGAAAGAGAATATAAAACCATAATAATATCTCAATAAACTGAACATCTCGCGGGCCAACATGCATTTGTAGCCCCATACGATTTGCCGCTAATATCGTTCCTGAGATTGAGCGTCTTGTGTCTCCGCGAGCAGCCTACGTGCTATAATACGAAAGAAGTGGGAATAGTTATAAAGAAAATCAATCGAAAAGTAATCTGGTTGCAGACCTATGATCTATGAGATGATGATCTTTGATATTCGTGTTAGTGGGTTACGTTAACTATTAGTTAGTTGGATAATTTAATTCACTATCTTTTTAAAACAATGCTTTTAAGAGCGTAAAGTTATTAAACTATTAAAAATAAACTCTGTTTTCTTTTTACAACAATTCTTAGATTTCATTTTTCTTTTATTTTTTCTGTGATCGATCTGATTGGAGCTTACATACATACATATATCTGTGATAAAATTTCAACGATAAAAATATATTTAAAAATTAAAACACTTTGTATTAATGAGCATTTATAGAAACAAATGTGAAAATGTTTCGAGAGACATTTTTAATAAACGGATATGCTAAATGTACGTGTAAACGTATAACCATTTTTCTGAAAGTAAACAAATAAATGTTTCGTGTTTATACATATATTTGAAAAATAAAAGAACACACACACAGCCATATAGGTACATATACAGGGTAAGTTTTATTTCGTGAACCAGTCTCTTACCATGAGAGATGGATTACCGACCAAAACTGTAGCCAACTCTGGAAAAGTGGAAAAATCTCGTTACATGTGTTTCAATCATGTAACATCTAATTATACATGGTTTGTATAAAAAGTATCGGGAATATTTTTTTCCTAACGCGACTGTAACTCGCAACCTATTCGCACCAGGCGAGCTCAATGGTGGGAATTCTCAGCTTCAAAACGCACTAGAGGCGTCAGTCACCTGCGAGCTTCCGTGCGAGGTTCATCGTTGATTTAGTGAACCTTTGTCGAGGGACTCGGTGCAAGCTCCAAAATGCAGCGAACACTTGAACAGCGCTACGCGGTTAAGTTTTGTGTTTGGCTGGGAAAATCTGGTACAGAGACATTGGCCATGATTCGGCATGTGTTCGGGAGTGATAGTCTTTCAAAAACTACAGTTTTTAAGTGGCACAAACTGTTCAAAGACCGCCGAGAGAGTGTGGAGGACGCACCCCGCGCGGGACGCCCGTCAATGTCAAGAACCGACGACAACCATTCGAATACTTAACCACCGGTCTGAGTTCAACAAAGCACGCACACGTTGCACGTTGTCGTCGGTTCTTGAGCTCAGACC